TCTTTCTTTCTTTCTTTCTTTCTTTCTTTCTTCTTTCTTTCTTTCTCTGTATTTAGTACAGGGTCTCACTACACAGATCAGACTCAGTGATCCTCCTGTTTTCAGCCTCCCGAGTGCTGGGATTACAGGTGTGCGCCACCGTGCTCAGTCTCAATCGCCGTCTCAGCGCGCACCACGGGCGAGGCTGGCACAGCACGCTTCGGATCTAACCCCGGCCCTGCGCTCTGCCCAAGCAGGCGCTTTAGTCCGCTGAGCTATCAGGCCGGCCCTAAGCTATTTCTATACTTGCTACTCAGGAAATTAAGTTCTATGTTCTTCCTTACACGATGGCATGGAATTAGAAAAAACAGTTTTCCTAATAAACTCATTCAAGTTTGCCTTCCTTAGAGGAGTAAAAACTTGCACACTGACAGAGGCTAAGGGGAAAGGCAGGTCAATGTTGAGCACAGGAGGAGATGACAGATGCTGAGCTTTCACTGGAGGCAGACAGGACAAAGCTGAAGAGCAGTTAGAGGTCGTGGGAGGCAGGAAAATGCACCCCTATTGGGAAATTTGCCAATTTGCAGGAGCATGATTCAGGTATTAACGAGCTCGGTAGCTGAGCACATAGGAAAGTCTCTGCCACGCCTAGACCCTGCCTGTACCTTGGTGTCAGTGACGCCACAGCTGCAGGGCGAGGGGCAGTGTCCAGCCATTCCGGCTTCCCTCTGAGAGTCTAGAGGTCAAACTTAAGATAGCAGACAAAAGTCTAAAAACACCTTTTATTAGTGCGTGTTTGCAGTACACAGTGAATGTATTTATTTTGGGGATTGGGAAAACGCATGGTAGAAGGTTTTAGGGAATCCAATGTTTGCAAAATAAAAGGCAAGTGACAGACAATCCCTGTGAGACCTGCCCTAGGGAGCAGGACACCGAGCTCTGCTGGCCTCGGGGGCATTGGACAGGGGCGCTGCGGAGCACTCGGGGGTCAGAGCAGAGGGGCACAGAGGCTCTGCCTGTCGTGAGGTCCGAACCGCACCTCTTGGAAGTCCACATAGTGATCTCTGGAGTGAAATAGGAAGGAAGAACTGGAAATGCTCCTGGAGCACGCCTGACGTGTCAAGCGCAGAGGAACCCTTTCGAGCAAATCACCCGGGTGAGGGAGGAGTCATGCCTCTTCTGCGGACAAAGGCACTGGCTCGAGGAGGCTGAGTCTGAGAAGGCTATTCCTGTGTAGGAGGATGAGCTGACAAGTTACATCAAGACCTTGTTGCCGGTAGCCACACTATGGTGTCTAATAGATCTTTCTCTTTAGAAACAAATGGAAGTGGTGGTGCGCACTTGTAATCCCAGCTCTTGGGAGGCTGAAACAGGAGAATCCATCAAATCTTTTTAATATGAACAAGGGAGTTTCACTGTGTCTGAAATAGATATTTCCTTCTGAGGAACAACAAAAATAAGACTTTCTTTCTACAAAAGAATATGTGATTTTCTTTTGGTAGAAAAGCCAGATGTGAGGCCAAGCAGGAGGAAGAGAAGGAAGGGCCAACGTGACTCCCGCCACTGGCACATAAGGACCGTCCCGTGTTGCCAGTGGTTGCAGGGGCACGATCCTTACTCAGAACCCACCAGCTTTCAACAACAAGCCTGGGGAGGCAGATCACCAAAGAAGACAGAGACTCTAGGCATGTGAAGATGAAATGAAAAATGCCACCTTGGAATTTTCGGGAACCAGGTGGTTTCGGTGGGCTTTCTTCCCCTTTATCTAGAGACTGGGTTTTTCTCCTAGAAGTTGGTATTTTTTGGTTGTCCCCAGCCAGCACAACCCTGATAGCCTAGACTTTTCAGACCAGCTGCTGGAGCTTTCTGTCTGTCAAATCCGAGTGAGCAGAAGAAAGCAAAGGATACTGGGGTCACACTTTTTCCTTGTGAAGATGTGATACACGAGTAACTCAGATAGAAAGCCTAGGCATTTTCTTTCCTATGTAGTGAAGAGGAAACCCGCAAGGACAGTCACTCATCTGGAATGCCCTGGTCACTTGAGGCTCCAAACATTTGGGTAGTGACTAATTCATTATTTGTTCCACTGTTAATTGTTCCCTCAGCCCCTCAGCAGGAAGTGGAACACCTAAGCTGTAGAGGGGGCAGGGGAAGGAAGGGAAGCTCGGTGATCTTCGTACTCAGGGTTTGGACTCATGGAATTGACAGGCATGATTTATGCTAAGGCCAGTTTTTCCACTTGATTTCGGAACCTGACACACAAACACAAGTCCAGTGCCACTGCCTGGCTCCGAGGGTCGTGTGCGAACTTCTCCAACAGCAGTCTCAGGACAAAAGGGCAGAGCTGTGACCTCTAGGACAGGTGTGAGCATGGCTGATGAGTTCATCTGAGTGATCTGCCTGGTATTGATTTGGGCATTCTCCTGTGTTGTCGTGGTTCCAAGTGAAAAGTTAACTCTTAGCAGGAACTCATTCCCCGACCATGCTCCATAAGGCAGTAAGTCAGTGCGTCTCTTCTTCTTCTTTTTACTATTGATTACAATCATGGATTCTAGAGGAGACATAAGTGTAGAGATTCATGGGATGGGTTTAAAATGCACAGCCCCCATGCAGGCTCACTGCTCCCCATGTCTCCCCTTCATTGCTTCCTTCATGCTCAGAAAGTTTCATTTCTTTCAGACAGGGTATCACCAACTGGCTGAGGGTCCTTTTGTTCAGTTTGCATAGTAATCATGAACAGTAAAGTGTAACACTTCTTTTTTTTTTCCTTTTGGCTGTATGAGAGATTAAATCAAGAGCCTTCTATAAGCCAGGCAAATACACTACTCCTAAACCACATCCCTGGCCCACTTAATTTTTGAGATAGAGCTTGCTAAATTGCTCTAGTTGACTCGAGCTTGAGATCTTCCTGTCTCAGCCTCTCAAGTAGCTGGGATTATAGGTGTGCACCACCAGGCCTCACCACTCTACATTTTTTAGTATTAACAGTCCCGAGCCTTTAGTGCTAGAGGTTATCTGCTCTTGGTGTTAGTGACCCTCGGCCACTGTCCTGGAAGCCAGAGCCAGTGACCACGAGTAGGCCTTGGGAGCTCTCCCAACAGCAGCTCTGGGCAGTTCTCCACTGTTCTCCACCTCTGAGTTCTGGCTGCTCTGGAGCGAGTGGCCTTTGGTGCTGCCAGGTCAGTCTTCTCTACTTGAGATAGAAATCATGAGCAGATAAAAAATGTTCTTGGAACCAGGCTTTATTAGGACTTAGGCTGCAGCAAAAGTGGAGAAGTGCACAGGCTGAACCTAGTAAGATTAAGGGGAGGTTGGTTGTGTAGCATTTAGTAAAGGTGGGCTAGCACATGCGTGGTGGTAGTCTTTCCGATCAACCACAGGAAGGAGAAGGGCTCCTCCTCAACCTGGTTGAGGATGGCTGCAGGGACATCTAGAAAAGCTGCAGGTGGACTCATCTAGGATGGACACTCGGCCAAAGCAAACACCGCCCAGAGTGGCTGTGGGGCATCTGATGTGGCCAGGCCAGACACAGGGCACTTGAGGCAGCTGTGGAGAAAAGATAAAGAAAGAACATCTCTTGGAGGGCGTCAGGCTCTTCCCTCCCATGGCAGAGGGTTGCTGCAGTTTTCCAGGCTGGTCTCAAACTCATGGTCTCAAGTGATCTTTTTACCCAAGCCTTCCAGAGCTTGGATTATAGGCGCACACCCAGCTAAAAGGAGAAACATTAGCATTGTACGTCTTAATGTGTGTGAGTCTGAATTCATGTAATTATATGTCATTCTTTCCCTCTGTGCTTTTGCATACATATTTCCCATGCTTTGTTAAATTATTTTTCCCAATCAGCCTTTCTCTTTAAAAAATTCACAAATATTAAAAACCTAATCAGGAAAAAAATCAAATGAAATGAAAAGTAATTGGTTTCACCTGTAATTCCAGTGTTCTGGAGGCTGAGGCAGAAGGACCTATGGGGTTTGAGGTCAGCCTAGCTACACGGTGACTTCGAGGCCAGCCTGAATTACATTGAAAGAACTTGTCTCAAAAACTAAACAAACCTTTCAAAAGTGAATAACTGGTTGAAAGTACTGTATCACTTAGCCTTTGCCAGAGTCAGTGTCAGCTTTCATACACTTACTGTTTGGGTATATTTATTGGCCTCTTTATGTTAGGTACTAGGGAGGCATGTTAAGTGGATGGAGCATCTAAGAACAGGAGGGCAGATGTTAGTAATGTGTAACACACTTACAACTCGCTGTTAGTTGGAGGCTGGCTTCCAAAAGTTCTTATGTTGAAGAACTGGCAAGGGCTATCTGAACAGAACCTCAGTTGCATAGAAAATAGTACCAGGAATCATGTCAAATGGGGTCATATCTCATCAGAAATCTTCTGCACAGCAAAGGAAGAAACCAACAGAGTGAAAAGAAAACCTACAGAATGGGAAAAAGATTTACCAGCTATGCCTGGGACAGAATGTACTTAGAATGCATAAACAACTAAAAAACAAAGAGTAAATAAATCTTCTCAAATTAAAAAAAATAAAAAATGGGATAATGAAATGAACAGACACTTCCCAGAAGAAAAAGTAAATAAATATGTGAAGAAATGCTGAGTATTGCTGGCCATTAGAGAAATGCAAATTAAAACAACCTGAGATTCCACCTTATCTCCAGCAGAATGCCAACCATAAAAACAAAAGCAAAAACACCACATAGTAACAAATTCTTTCCAGGCTATAGAGAAAAAGAAGCCTTCTATTCTGTTGGTAGGGATGTAATCTAATATCACTTTTAGTGAAATCAGTATGGAGATTCTCAAAAATCTCCATTTGATTTCCATTTGTTCAGCTAGTCCCCTTCTAGCTTTATTGCATTACAATCCATAATAGCTAAATCTTGAAATAGGTCTATACATTACTCAACAGATGAATTGATAAAGAAAAGTGATTTTTTTTAATGAGTATTTTAATTGTTTCAGAAAAGATGTACGTGAACTTGGATTACAAAACATGATACTAGAAGAGTTATCCACCTCATAAATGCAAAAACAAAACAAAATGACCAGACAAAAACACCTTAAAATAGTTAATGAAATGTTTTCTGGATCTTCTTCTTCCATCAAAAGCTGTCTCTCTTCTTCCTAGGGCACCTGCTCTGAGAGCCAATCTTTTATCTCCCTCTAGCTGGGCCAGGACAATTTCCTTCCATACCCACCTCCCTTCTTTCAGTCACACTGTGTGGGTGCTAAAGACCCTGGACTCTGACCAGTGAATAGAACTGTCCTTTAAGCCAGCAAACCACAGGCAATGGCACCCAAAGCCTCACCCCCAGCCTCCATGGCAGAAGCCACAGAGCTGGCATTGTTTCCACTGTCTCAGGAAGAAGGAACCAAAAGCTGACCCTCAGCACAAATAGAAGCCCAATGTGGACAGAGAATAGGCTTCTAGTCCCAGAGTAGGCAGCAAATTGTGGGCAGGAAAAGGGCATTTTCACAGCCATTACATCATGAGAAACAAGGGGAAACCTGGACCCTTTCTATTATTGTGGTTTTACAAGCCAGTCTACTGAGCTAAGGGGGATCATCTGCAAACACAGAAGGATCCAAAGAGATCAGGTAACTCTGTTGGCCAGGGTAAGAATGAGGACCAGGAAGGTAAAGCAGTTTGTGACAACTAATTTGTAGGAAGATGATTCTGGGAGCGTCAGCTCTTCACATGGCTGCCAGACCTACAGAGGACAACACAGTCAGAACCAAGATGGCCACCCCAGACTGGTAGAGATGGGCAGTCTTCAGGCCTTTTCCCAGGTTCCATATCAAGTGACGGATCCCATTCCAGGTGTGATACGTGAGTGGCAAGACGAGCGCAAACTTAGCTGTGTAAATCACTGCTGGCCCCAGACACAAAGACTTCACAAATTCTAAGTAAGACTCAAAGTTCCCAGGGAGCAAAGAGCTGACACACCAAACAGAGAGACCCCTCCACTCAAGCCCATACCAGCGCCGCAATGGCAAATGGACATCACCATGGGAAGAGACCAACTGTAGATAGTGATGTAGGAGATTCAGGATGATTTGAACCTGTGTTCTTATTCCAGAACCGCTCCATCTCTTCTTTGGCTGCGGTTCCCAAAGGAACAGCATTTCTGATATAGAGCCGAGGACTCAGGTGGGAATGGAGGCAATGATGGTCAGCATGTCTCAACAAGAGTGCCGCCATCTTGGTTTCTGGCCTGGACAGAACTCAAGGAAAGTGATATTTACACACAATGGAGTACTATATTTCCATAACGAAGGAAAAACTTGAGTCATTTATGGGAAAATGGATGTACTTTGAGTCCATAATATTAAGTGAAATAAATCAGACACATAAATTTAAATATTGCATGGTTTCTTTTATATGAGAAACTCAAATTATACATGAAGAGCAAAGGCCAGGGAGATGGCTCAGTAGAATAAGCACTTTCCTGGCAAGCGTAAGGGCCTGAGTTCAATCCCTGGTTCAGCCAAAAAACAAAAAACAAACCAAAA